ATCAAGCCATGCTGAGGCGGCATCCCACATGCCACAACTAGAAGGACCCACAACTAGAAGGACCCACAACTAAAAATACACAACTATGTACCAGGGGGCTTTGGGGAGAAAAAGGAAAAATTAAAAAAAATCTAAAAAAAAATGTCTTTGGTATTCAGCAATTGACTATGATGTGTTTGCGCATTTAAAAAAAAATATTCTCTTCGGGATGTCCTGAGCTTTCCAAATCTGTAGATTTATATCTTTCACCAAAATTGTTTTTTAGTTATTATTTCTTCAGATATTTTTACTGTGCCAATCTTTCTTCTCTCCATCTGGGTCTTAGTGATATGAATGTTAGACCTTTTTATATTGTCCTACAGGTCCCTGAGGCTCTTTTCGTTAAATTATTTTTTTTCCAGTTTTTCAGATTGGATAATTTCTACTGACATCTTAGCTTCTGTTACTTATTCCTCTGCCATCTCCATTCTGCTATTGAGCAGAATTAAAAAAAAAATTCAGATAGTGTATCTGTCTCTTCTCAAATTTCTATTTATGGTTTCTATTTCTGAAATTTCCCCATTCATTTCACATATATCTACCTTTAGGTCATGGGCATTGTTATATTAGCTGCTTTAACATCTTTGATAATTCCAGCATCTGGGTCATCTCAGGGCTGGCATCTTTATCTTTGCCCCATAGAATCAGTCACCTTTTCCTGATTATTTGTATGCTGAGTATTTTGGTTTCTATCCTGGATATTTTGATACCCTGGTGAAACTCTGCGTTGTGTTGAAATCCTTGGGAGAACATTGCTTTTTCTTTGTTATGTTCAACGTGCCGTCACACCTGCTGGGCCCACACTCTTATCTGTCTTTCTCTGCATGTGATGGTTCCAGTGTCAGCTCAGCTCGTGAGGCCTGTGCTGTGCTGCTTTGGGTCTGGCCCCCATGCACAGGTGAGCTGGGGCGTGAGCCATATTACACAGAGCTAGGGGAATCCTTTCTCTGCTCTCTTCTCTCCATCCTCTTTGACTTTCACAGGCCCTTTTCCTCACCTTGTGGCCAGGTTTTCTGTTAGTCGTGGCTGCCAGTCACCCGCTCCTGAAGCTCTGCTGGGCACCTGCCTCAGGTCGACGCTGCCAGAGAAAAGAGGAACACAGAACAAAGGAGAACCTCACTCCTGCGTGGGTTGCTTCTCTAAGTTTTGACTCTTCTCCTCAACCTGCCTGTTTTGCTTTTCAGAATCCTCAGGGAATTGCTTTTTGTATTTCCTCTGAAACTGTTAGTCATCTTCCGTGGGAGAGAGGGCCGTAGTGGGCTTACTCCGCCTTGATGGGTACCAGAAGCCTGCGTGAATGCTCTTTAGGGTACTTTTGTCCTGACCCAGGATTAGAAAACATGCATCGCGTGGGCGGCCATGTTTACTTTTGAGCATCCCTTAACCTTGTTGGGTTTGTACCTGCTGATGTTTCTGAGAACTGGGGCCAGTTGCGTAGACTCTCTTTCAGCCTCCCACCCCTCAGGCTTTTCTCTTCACTCCAATGAAACTCTGTTGCTGAGGCTGCTGATGACTCTGTGTTGCTAAATCCAATGGGTATTTCTTTGTCTTCATCTTAATTTCTCAGCACATTCGATTCCTCTCTCCTTGAAATACTTCCTCTGCTTGGCTTCTGAGACTCGACTCCCTCCGGTTGCCTCCTACCTCCCTGGCCCGCCCAAGATCTTCAGCACCCTTCCCCTTGCCCACTACATTCCCACTGTACTGGTCTCCTGGCTGTTCCTGGAACGCATCTAGCAGCTTCTTCCTCGGAGCCTTTGTACTTGCTGTTCCTTTGGTTTGGAATGCTTTTCCGTGTAATCACATGCCTTATTCCCTCACTCCATTCAGTTCTCTGCTGAAATGTCACCTGATAGAGAGGCCTTTTCTGATTGCCCCATTTAGAATAACACCGTGCCTCTGTGTCCCTTCTAATCCCTGTCCTTCTTGGCGGATTTTATTTTTCTTCATTGTGCAAGTCCCCCTGGCATGACACATTTGATCTGGTGCTTACTGACAGTCTCTCTGAGTAGAATGTGAGCTCTGGGAGGGCAGGAACTGTGTTAGTCTGGAATAGTTTTGGTGCGTAGTGGGTGCCCAGTAAGGATTTGTAGAGTAGACGACTCAGTGAAAATCTTTTGAATATGTAGAGTTTATCTTTATCCTTGGAGCCATCCACACTTTCTTCCTTCCCCATGGTCCAGGGGGATGGCCCCCTGCCTCGTACCCTAATGCTCCCCGGCCAGGTCATTGCACCACCCCCTCAGTGGACATCCTGATCGAGAACGACAGTGGACATCACCCTCCTACATCTTCCGTGATTCCAAGTGCCAGGGCCAGGGAGGCACGTACCAGTCACCCTGCTCTTGTGATGGGGCGGTCCAGGGCAGAGCCACTTCCCAGAAGGTCGTCTAGGCGCCTGGTTCTCCATCACTCTGGGTGATTCGGTGCAAGGACTCTGTCACTCATCCTGCCAGCAGATGAAAGAGGAGACTGGCGCCTCAGCTCCATCTCTCTCCTTTTTGCTCTACCCCATCTGATGCCAGAGCCAATGCAAGGCAGTGAAGCCTAATGACTGCCCCAAGGCTGGTGACAGTGGGGAACCACTGGCCAGGGCCAGGCGGTGGCTGCCGTGGCTGATGGTGACGGGGAGATGCAACTGCTTCCCAGAAACAAGCAGACCAGCTAGCTGGCAGAGTGACAGCCCCAGAATGTGGCCATCGAGCTGAGTGGCCTCCCTGCATGTCTCTCTTACACGAAACACCCACATGCCTTCTAGGCACCGAAGCTGCTGTTTGCGTGACGATTTGTATTCTGCAAGGTGATTTCATAAACCTTTCATACGTCTGCACACCCACTGGGTTTTTCCCTTAATTGTTTTTTACTTAGGGTAAAAGTCACTCTTTTTAGTGTAAAGTTGCAAGAGTTTTGACAAGTGCATACACTTAGGTACCCGTTTCCACATTCCAGATATAGCATAGTTCCATCATCACCCCCAAATTCTACTATGACCCTTTGTGGTCAACCCCTCTCTCCACCTCTGGCTGCCGGCAGCCGCTGTCTGTTTTCCATCCTTACAGTTTTGCCTTTTCCAGAGTGTCTTTTGCGTGCAGTTGTGCAGTGTCCTGCCTTTGAGTCTGGCTTCTTTCATTCAGCTTAATGCATTTGAGATTCCTTCATGGTATTGGGCATTTCAGTTACTTGTTCCTTTTTATGGCTATTATTCCATTGAATGGAGATCTGTTTATTCATTCCTCAGATGAAGGATATTGAGGTTGTTTCTAGTTTTTGGTGATTATGAGTAAAGCTGTTATAAACGTATGCATGAAGGTTTTTGTGTGAACATAAGCTTTCATTTCCCTTGGGTAAATACCTAGGAGTGGAAATAACTAGGTTGTATGGTAGGTGTAGATTTAACTTTTTAAGAAGCTGCCAAACTGTTTTCCAACGTGGTTGTAACCTTTCACGTTGCCCAGTGATGTCTGAGGGTTCCAGTTCCTCCACCTCCATGTCAGCACTTGGCATAGTCAGCTTTTTGCTTTAGCCATTCTCGTAGGTGTGTAGTGGTATCTCCTTGTGGTTTTAATTTCCATTTTCCTAATTACTAATGATGTTGAACGTCTTTTCGTGTCTTTATTTGCCATCCATCATTCTGCTTTTGTGAAGTGTTTAAATCTTTTGCTGATTTTAAAAATTAGATTGTTTTTCTTATTATTGGATCTGTGAGTTCTTTATATTTTTTGGATAAAAGCTCTTTATCAGATGTATGATTTGTAAATATTTCTTCCCAGCCTATGGCTGTCTTTTTATTCTCTTAACAGTGCCTTTTGAAGAGCAAAAGTTCTCAAATTTAGCCACAACTAGAAGGGCCCACAACTAAAAATACACAACTGCGTGCTGAGGGGGATTTGGGGAGATTAAAAAAAAACGTTCTTAAATTTGGCAAAGTCCAGTTTATCAATTTGTTCTCTTATGGAATCAGGCTATTGATGTTATATCTAAGAAAACTTTACCTAAGGTCATGGGAATTTTCTCCTATGGTTTTTTAGAAAAGTTTTATGGTTTTAGGTTTTATGTGTAGGTCTATGATCCATGTTGAGTTAATTTTTTGTAAGGTGTGAGGTATGGATGAAGGTTCATATGTTTGCATAGGGACATCCAGTGTTTCCTATCATTTATTGTAGAGACTCGTCTTCCTCCATTTACTTGTTTGTGCACCTTGTCAAGGATCAGTTGACCTTTTAGTGCGGCTCTCTTTCTGGGCTCTCCATTCTGTCCCGTGCATCTATGGGATCTATGTGACTGTCCTTTCATCAATACCACGTTGTCTTGGCTACTGTAGTATAATAGTAAGTCTGGAAGTCAGGCAGTGGCCACAGCTACCTTTTCAGCATGGCATTAGTATTCCCCCCACTTTACAGATAAGGAAACTGACCCTCGTGGGTAGATGTCCTGCTACAGCCTCCCTTATATGATAAGTTAGCTGCTCAGCTCATACTCAAAACCCACGTCGTCTCAAGCCTAGCCTGGTGCTCAGAGTGTGGCCTTTGGAGTCTGGTTTGGGTTTAACTCTCAGCTCTGCTTTTATTAATATGTGGCCCCGGGCAAGGAAGTTTGCCCCCTTGTGCCTCAGTTTCCTTATCTCTAAAATGAGTGCAATGATGGTACCGGTCTTATAGATTAGGCTAAAGATTAAGTGAGTTCATATATCGGGTCAAACCATATGAAATTGCTGATATTTGATCATTTTTGACCGACACAAATGGCAGTTTTACATAGTTCAACCTAATATTCAAACGCTCCTTGTAGTACTAGATAGAGGGCAAGCACTCCAGAAATGCTGGCTACAGCTGTCATCATTGTCGTCGTTGTCGTTGTCATCATCGCTATTATTACTACTGCTCCTGGGCCTGCTGCTGCCGTACTCTGACTGGTGAGGGCAGTGGCCTGAGGCTGATGGTTTGTGTTCTGTGTGTCCTCAGTTCAGGCAGCCAACGTCCCCAAGTATTCCTGCGTGACAAGCTTCTTTCCGAGTCTGAAGAGTAATAGGGCCCAACCTCTGCTCTTGTGGAGTGGAAGTGCCCACCTGGTGTAACAGATGAGTGTGCAAAGGGCAACGGGAGGAGCTTGGTGGGCAGAAGGGGTTGGCAGGACTTCACAGATGCGTCCATTAGGTGGGCCCTGTAGGATGGTTGGGAGTTTGGGATGGGAGGAACATTCCATGGGCAACTGACAGCTTGTGCAAAGTCTTAGAAGGGGGGATAGATCGGCTTCAGGGGAGCCTGAGATCTGACTCTGGGCTGGAGAACGGGAAGCAGCCCATGGTGGCCGAGAATGGGTTCACAGCCCCATCCTTTCCCTCCATAGGTGGCCCTAGTCCCCCAAACATCCTTGAGGAGCCAAGTCCGGAAGACCTCTCCCACCTCTGCCTCTGCCATGGCCGCGAGAACCATCATCATCGACCACGGGTCCGGCTTTCTGAAGGCTGGCTTGTCGGGGTGGAACGAGCCCCAGATGGTCTTCCCGAGCGTTGTGAACTACATCCCGTGCAGAGAGAACCCCGGCCCTAGCTACGCCCGCAGGCGCGTGAGTCTAGGCATCGACATTTACCATCCTGACACCTTCAGCTACCCCGTCCAGCGTGGCCGCATCCTCAACTGGGAGGGCGTGGAGCACATCTGGTCCTTCGTCCTGGAGACACACAGACGGGAGCATGAGGACTCCTCTGTGATAGTCACAGAGTCCCCCCTGAGGGAGCCTGTGGACCGACAGAAAACCCTGGAGGTAAGGCCTTCTCGGGGCTGCCCTTACTGGGGAGTGGGGAACAGCCTGGCACTGTGTATTCAGACGTGGCTGGGCATCAGGAACTCTGCTTTCTAAATAATTTGCCCAGCACATGTTTACTGCGTACCTGGTGTGTGGCCCGCACAGTGCTAGGCGAGAGGGGGCTCGCAGAGGCTCCTCCTGCAGGTAGAGATGAGGCAGGTCAAATGCTCCGTGGAAAGGGTGCTGCTGGGGAACACCAGGCATTCATTCATGGGGTCCGCACATGTCCACAGGTCATATTCTGGCCCTCAGAGAGCTTACATTCTAGGGGAAGACTTGACCGTGTGTGAATAAGTTGACAGCTAAAAATCTAGAGAGTGGTCAGTTCTAAAAGCAAAATGAAATGGGGTGATAGCTGACTGGTGGGGGCAGAGGAAGCCCCTTTGAAGGGTGACGAGGGCTTCTCTAAGGAAGCGATTTCAGCCAGTGGGGCTGAAGCCCAGTGAACCAGGGAGGGTGGCAAGAGGGACACAGGAAGATGAGGCCGCAGGGGCGGGACCTCGCAGGCCTGGTCAACTGTGGGAAGCACGTGAATTTCACCCTGAATCAAGGGTTGGCAGACTACCGCCAGTGGCCAAATCTGGCCCTCCATCTGATTTTGTAAATCAAGTCTTAGTGGAACAGAGCCCCTCCCACTCCTTTCTGTCCTCTGTGGCCACTTTCACGCTGCGGTAGCAGAGTTGACTAGTTCCAACAGAGACTATATAGCATGTAAAGCCTAAAGTAGTTAGTATTATTTAGGTTTGCTGGATAAAACACATGATACCTAGTTAGATTTGAATTTCAGATCAACAGCAAGTAATGTTTTAGTATAAGTATGTCCCAAATATTGCATGGGACGTACTTACCGTAAAACATTATTTGTTGTTGATCGGAAAGTCGAATTTAACTGGGCATCCTCTATTTTCATTTGTTGAATCTGGCAATCCTGACTGTCTAGCCCTTTACAGAAAATGCTTGCCAATCCCTGCTTTAAGTGAGTAGAAAGCTCCTGGCGAGTTTTAAGTGGGGGAGTCATGTTTGATTTTCTATTTGAAAAGAGGGGCCTTGGCTTCTATTTGGGGAGGGGGTGGTGAGGGGACAATATTCTGAGCATGGGAATGAGGGAGCCCCCGCCACTGACGGAGAACGTGGGCGTGCCGGGGCCTGAAGGGGGAGGTGAGCGGCTGAGGGCTGCCCTGGGCTGGACTGTTGCTGCCTCTCTGCATCTGTAGTGTCAGAAACTTGGGGGTGCGACCAGAGCCGAGACTTGGGGAGGCGGCGGGGGTGCTCTGTAAAGATCTAGGGGTGATGGGCATGGGGAACATCGGCCTAGACACTTTGCCCAACCCTGAATATCAGAATTCTAGTTTTATCTTGATGTTTGAAAAGCTTTTATTTGTTGTTGTCGTTTTTAAAGATTGGCACTTGAATTAACAACTGTTGCCCATCTTGTTTTTTTGGGTTTTTTTCTGCTTTTTCTCCCCAAATCCCTCTAGTACATAGCTGTATATTTTAGTTGTGGGTCCCTCTAGTTGTGGCATGTGGGACGCCACCTCAACGTGGCCTCACGAGTGGTGCCATGTCCACGCCCAGGATCTGAACCAGGGAAACCCTGGGCTGCCAAAGCAGAGTGCGTGAAGTTAACCACTTGGCCATGGGGCCAGCCCCCTGAGAGGTTTTATTTAAAAAAAAACTAAGGCTTCACATACCAGGAGGTGGGTGTATTTTTTCTTTTCTTTATACCCCAATTTTGGGATCCAGTGGTGAAGCTGCTGCACTTGTTTCTTATGTCTTATTCCTTCTTCTAAAGAAACGGTTCAGCCTGTGAACCTGCCCCTTGGCTGTGTAGTGTCCTGCCCTGCCCACCCCCCCTGCCCAGAGCCAGTGCCATTTCTTGCCACCTGATGGCTCTTCCCACCCCTACACTAAACTGGTCTTTGGAAAGGCCCAAATCAAACCAGCCCCTGAGGGCAAATCCGACTCTTTCTCAACCTCTAGAGCCCCTCCCTTATTCCCACCGCAAGAGCTCCAGGTGTCCTAGGACCAATGTCCTGGGGCAGCCCTCCAGTCCCTTGAGGACGGGTGTCTGTGCTGATTTCAATTTTGGGAGCTGAGCCTGTAGCATGGTCTTGGGGAAAACAGAAATAGATCAGGGCCCTTTGTTTGGAGAAAACACCCTGAGTGTGTCAGTCTTCTCCCTTCTTGCAGATTATGTTTGAGTTACTGGATGTCCGGTCCCTACTCCTGGCTGACCAGCTGGAGATGTCCCTGTATGCCTCTGGCCTCCTGACCGGCGTGGTGGTCGATTCTGGTTACGGCTTGACCCGCGTGCAGCCTTTCCATCTGGGCCGCCCCTTACGGCCCAGTGGTAAGACGCTGGAGTTCGCCGGCCAGGATCTCTCCGCCTATCTCTTCAAGAGCCTCTTTAAGGAAGATAGCAACCAACACAACCTGTTTCAGCTGGACACGGTCACCAACACTCAGATGAACAAGTGCTACGTGCCGCAGAATTTGGGGGAGGCGCTGGACTTTCGTCAGAGCCTGCCCAGTGGCTCAGATGAGACCAACACCTATCAGCTCCCGGATGGCACCCCTGTGGAGCTGACCCCCATGCAGCGGCTGGCTCCCGAGATGTTCTTCAGCCCCCAGGTGTTCGACCTGGAAGGGCCCAGCATCTCTCAGGCTGTGCTGGATTCCATCCAGACCTGCGAAGCCTATGTGCACCCACTGCTCATCTCCCATGTGGTGGCCTGTGGGGGCAACACCCTCTATCCGGGCTTCACCAACCGCCTGTACAAGGAGCTCATCGAAGATCATTTCTCCTCCACCAAGACCACAGTATGGGTGGGTTCCAACAGAAACTTTAGCGTCTGGTTAGGAGCGTCTGTTGTGGCTCATCTGTCTACTTACAAGTCCGAGTGGATGACCAAAGATGAGTATGATGAGAGTCTGAGGCAGTGACCTGCTGCCTGGCTCCTGGGACCCGGCTCCTGCTGGATAGGCTTGAGTGAATTAATTGCAGTGAAAAGGTCTGGGCAGGGGTGGGGTGAGCAGGCTTTGGAATTTTCAGGTCATGGAGGATTGTTTTAGGTTCTAGAGTTTTATCTTGTTTCAAGAGAGGGATCTAATCCATAGGTGGACAGGGTGTCGTCCCTGGAAGCCCTTCAGGGGACAGTTTTTCCGGGGATGGTCTGTCATTGGGATGGGAGTGGCCAGCTGCCATCTCTATGCCTAAAAGCCATTTGTTTGTCACTGGCATCTCCCTTGGGTTGTCCCGTTCTTCTTGGTTGAATAGGTTTTAACTGGGGCAAGAGAGAATTATTTTTGGATGGGGACAGACAGGGCAGGGAGGAGGAGAGTTGAAGTCTCTAGTCTCATGTGCTCTCGCTGGCCAGGGAGGAGCTGCGGTGGGTGAGTCTGGAGCGCTCTTCCCCGCTGTGGCCAGCGTCTTGTTTTATGTACGCAAATAAACAAAATTGTTTGGAACCATTGCTGCCTTCTGTGATGGATGGAGGTAGGGTGGGCAGTCCCTTGAGGAGACCTAGGGAGTGTAAGTATGCAGGACCCAGGGTGGGGCCAGGGCATCCTCTGAGGAATTCGGGGGCCTATGAGCAGTGGTTACTGCTGAGCAGAATGGATACGGGCCTCTTACAGTGCCACATTCTCTCCATTCATCAGATGTCCCAGTATTCTGTTAAAGTTTGAGTTCCTATTAGTGTAATATTTATTTGATAAACATTTGAGAACCTACTATGTGCCAGGTACTGTGCTAGGTACTGGGGACTTTGAGGTGAAAAAGATATATGAGGCTTCCGAGGACATAGGCAATAAATAAGTAAATATATTTCAGACGAAGAAGAATGAAATGAATCAAGTATAACAAGGTCATATGATCTAGGGGGTGGAAGGATGCCTGCTTTCGATGGAGTGGACTGAGATGGAGACCTCTGGGGACTGTCAGTGACTGTGCCCCCTCCTTCCGTGGCACACTGTGAGGTTGCACTTCCCAGTCCCCCTGGCAGTTAGGTAGGGCCACATGACCGTACCATAGGTTCCAGCCTGTTCAGTGTGTGCCTGACCCTTAAAATAGCCCCATGAGCCTGTGGAATGCTGAGGATCATATGAAAGAATTGCAGAGCTGCGGATGGAAGGAGGTAAATGACGGATGGAACAGAGCCCCTTCCCCAACCTGCGCTGCGCGGGGGCATGAGGAACAATCTACTATGTTTGGCCACTGGGATTTGGGGGTTGTTTGTTACAGCAGCTATTTTGCTTACTCTGACTAATACAGAGAAAGGAGCCATAACATACTATTTATTTAACAAATATTTTTTCTTGTAAGTGGCAGAAGTGGGGTTCAAATCTAGTCTGGGTTTTCCACCGCCATGTTGTATGGCTGCTTCTGAAAAGTCTCTTGGTTCCTGGTGTCAGCTAGAATTGAGTAACAAGTATGGTGGGTGGGGGATGGAAGCACAAGGAACCCCAATGTTTCAGGGGCAGGCAGAGGACTTTAGAGGCCAGAGTCCAGCTCACCTTGTCTTTGACACACGAACCATATTCTCTCAGCCACAAGGTAGCTAAAAGAGACAGGAGGCACGTGGGCACTGGGTGAGCTGACCCACAGCATCTGTCCTTTGGCAGAGGAGAGATTTGAACCTAGGTCCATCCATACTAAAGCACATGTTGTTACCCACAGTGCCAGACCACCTTCCTACTTTTCTGGACCCTGTTGGACTTCTTGGCCTGAGAGGTGAAGACGTGTGGTTTTTCCAAGCGTGAGTGAATGCTGTTTTTGGGTGGTAATCTGGTGTTGACATACTGATCGGTAGTCTTTGTGCTCCAGACTGGTTTATTTGTGTACTCCTGAGCCTTAAAAGGCGAGGAGGGGAACACAGAAGTGAGAATGAGGGAGAAGAGGGAGCTGGAGGAGAGATGGGCAAGGAGTCTTTTTTTCCCCTTATTTAGCCCTGGGCAACTGTCATCAGAACTCTTTTTCTCATTTTATTCCAAATGTAACATTTAACCTTTCTGTTCAAGCATCAAATCTGGCTGCCTGGTGTATAATTACAAACTTTTCTTCGCTTTCTCTCCCCCCTCCCCCATCCTGAAAGCTTTTAAAACTCCCTCACTGGGTACCGTCTCTCTCTTCTGACTCTCCAATTAAATTAAAAATAGCAGCTCCATGGGGCTGTGCAGGGCCATCAACCTAACGTGAAACTGCTGGCACACTAGGCCTGGCGGGGTGGTGAGTGGTGCCCAGAAGATGCCTGCCGGCTCTGGCATGGCCTGCAGCTGTTCAGAGCTGGGGAAGCTTAACCTCCGTGAGGGGTCTGGGGCTGCCTGCCAGGGGCAGCCAGGTGCAGAGGGGTGGGAGGCAGGGTCTTGGCAGCTGGGGTGGGTGTGCTGTGTGGGGCTGGAGGAGGGAACAAAGGGAATGGTCCCTAGGCGGACCATTTCCAGCTGTGAGGGTACAGTTCTGCCAGTTTCTGTTGCCAAGGCTGGGGCTTGGCACCCTTGTATTTGGGTTTGGGTGGGGTTTGGATGCCCAGGTTCCCTGAGATAACCCTGGTAGAAACTTTTGGTTCTGCTGATGCAGAAAACAAACTCAGCGTAACACTAGTACCCTCCTGGCTCTAGAAGAGACTTTCATCGCCTCTTCCACCCCTAGGTCCCCTTTCTGTAGAGAGGCATATGGTGAAATGGGCGAAGGCTTGGACTCTGAAGCCAGATTGTCTGGATTATCATCCTAGTTGTACTGCTTTCTGGCTCTCTTGCCTTGGAGGAAGTTACTTGAACTCCTGCTCCTCAGTTTCCCCATCTATAAAATGGGCCTAGTGAAGATGTCTACCTCAGGGTGGTTTTGATGATTACCATATGGCTTTTATGAGTTAATATATACAAAACACTTAGCAAGTGCCATAAATGTTAGCTATTATTACTTCTGTGCACACCAAGTCCTTAGGCAAAATCCTGGCTCTTCTATTTATTTTTACTTGCTCATAAGCAGGTAGGTGCTAGTGATGCAAAATGAATAAAACATGATAAAGTGCTCACTTACTTTCCAGGGGGAGGCTCTGCAGGGTAATTTCTTTCCTTGTCTGAGCGATGGAGCAGAGTCACATTCTGTATACAGAGGTACCACAGGCATGGAGAGTGACTGGCTACATACAGGGAGAGGTGGTCAACCCAGAGGAGACTTTCATAGGAAGCAGTGATGAGATGACTCTTGGCAGAGGAGCAGGACTTAGCACATTCTGTTCCTTTTGTTTGGAATGCTTATCCCTGATACTAGTCCCATAGCTGCCTTTGACAACTTGGTGTGGGGGGTGAAACAGATGGGGCATTCAGAATGGCTGGAGAATGAAGGCAGTAGGGAGTGGGGACAGATGAAGGTGGAGGTAGGTAGGGCCAGCTCTTAAAGGACATTGAGTGTCACACCAAGGAGTGGAGACTTCATCCTGAGGGTGATGGGGAGGCCTGTCAGAATTGAAAGCGGAGTCATGACATCACTTGAAAAATTGGAGCTCTGGAAATGGCTTGGAGAATGGTTCAGAGAGGGACCAGACCAGAGCAACAACATAAATCATGAAAACATGCATTCCATTAGACTCTGGGCTAAGTGTTCTGCATTTTCTGGGACCTTGCTCCTCTCCGATGCCTTAGAGGGGAATTTGGTATTGGTGATACTTTGGAGCTATGGTGAGTTTGAGGGACCAACACATTTTCCTTCCTATTGTCTGGCAGCTGTCTGACAGTTGTCAATTTTAGAGCACATTGGCCTGGAAGGTGGCAGGAGAGGCAGCCCAGGGTGAAGGACTTGGGGAGAGTAGTCTCCAAGGTGAGAGAGTGAGATGAATTCATGTTGAGTGCAAGATGTGCCCTGCCCCAGCTGGGAGTCTGTGCTTGGTTCCGTGAGCTCTCCACTTCAGGACTGCAAATCCCGGACAGCTCCCGGGCTTCTGCCTTCCTTCAACCTCATTCATGATGTCCTGTTCCAAGAAGCCAACTCCTGCTGATAAAGGAGGAACCATACCTGCCAGGAAAGAGCTCTGGTGTCTGAATCAGACACCAGGCTTGAATCTCCATTCCCCACTTGCATGCTGTGTTGCCTGGGGCAAAGAACTGCCCCTCTCTGGTTCTATTGCCTCATCTGTAAATTGGTGATAGTCATATCTACTTCACAAGGCTGATAGGGGGCTCCAAGTTGTTTACCTAGTCAATGAATATTTATTAGGCACCTACCCTGTGCTGAGCCCTTTTCTAGGCTCTGTTAAATTGAAGAATGTTTATAAAGTGGCTTAGCACAGTGCCTGGCACACATTAGGTGCTCAGGAAGGGTTAATTTTCTCCCTGAGACACTCATCAGCAATAAAAAGCCAGGATTAAAGACCCTAGGAGCAATCAACCACATATAGGTGTTACAAAGCATGGCCCCAACGCTCATGCACGCTGCCAGCAAAGATGCCTTTTCATCCTGTCCTTTCGATGAACTTTTCCGCTAAGGTGTTCGGATCTTGATATACAACTGCTCTCAGGGATCTTTGGCATTTTAAAGAGGCCCTAAAATCAGAGTGTGAGCTGGGTCTGACTCTGTTCTTTAATTAAGACAAAGTTCTCTGGACTTACCCAAATTCAGGCCACTTCTCCTGACCTGTTGTTCTGAGGCTCAACCTCCAGGAAGACAATGATGCTGAGGCCAGGAAAGATGACACTGGTGGGGTTGAAGACCCACACTCATTCGATGAGCCTTACTGAACCCCAGCTGGGAGCTTGGTGCTGCCCAGGACACAGAGGGCAGACCTGATTCCCACTGTCCAGGATCCAGTGAGGGGTGTACATGACCCAAGGGAGGTGGGGAGCAGGCCAGAGCCACCTCCTCTCTAACCCTGTGCTGTGGGGGTTACCATCTTCACCCAGCTCTCTGGGCCAGCAAGCCAGGCTCCTAGAGCGGGCGAGGGAGCCTGGCAGCACTGTTCCCACTGGAGACATTCAGCTGGGGGAGGGGGTTGGCCGTAATCCGTGTTTAATTTCTCCAGGGCCTCCATTATAAATTCCATAACTCTACCAGTCAAAACATGACTAATTCCTGGGACGGCAGCCCCCACCTGGGAGTAGAAAACCCTGTGCTGTTTTTGCTGCCTTTTATCACCACTAATAACAGCTTGGCAGTCGGAATTTAGCTGCCGTGGGTGGTTTTCTTATGCATGTGGGTTTTCCCCCCTCCCCCTACAGGGTCGCTATAGAATAAATGCTTGCTTGCTGGGCTGGTTTTCTACCAGCTTTGTAATATTCCCGACCTGAAAAGCTGTGGGTTTGGGGGAAGTTTGCAGAGAAGGGGCCATGGTATTGAGGGTTAATTGGGCCTTTGATGATTCTGACAAGGGCAGGACGCTGTGTGATTTATGGAGAGAAGAATGGGTTCGTTGAAACTAAATAGAGCCAAATTGCAGGTGTGATGTTTAACCTGCTGAAGGCAACGTGATTCA